CACGGGAAGGGGAGGCCGGGAAGGGTCCCCTAGCGTCGCTCTGGTTTGGCGAGAGGCATGGGGTGAACCCCTGGGGTGCTGCCCAGGCGAGGGCAGGGCCTGAAGGCTGCAGGAGGCTGAGGGGGACTCTCCAACCCTGCCTGGAAATGGGATGCTCTCCCCTTAAAATCCCACTGCTGGACGGAATGTTGATTTATATCTACTTATATTTGTAGCTGTGGGTGTATTCATTACAGTAGATCAAAAAAAAAAAACGGAAAAAGGGAAGACAGTTTGTCTGTTTTTCTCAAGTTGCTCGCTTAAAATGTCACAGTGCCCTGGCAGCTTGACTTCCTTGTCTGTGGGTCAGGGCCAAGCTCTTGGGCGTGACAGAGATCACAAGATGTTTTTAATCTGCTTTAGTAGCTTTTAACGCTGAGTCAAAAGCACAGTCACATTGCATTTCAACACATCAGCAGTGTCAAGCAATACCAACGCTGTTACGGTGATCTAGTCTCGTGTTTCACTCTGCGCAATCCTAAGTGGCCTCTTATCTTTTCCCCTTTAACCTGCTCCCCTCTCCTACGAGAGCAGGTGTGGAGAGAGACACCTGAAGAGGTTCTCAGCCCGAGCAACGGGGAGGCCAAACATGGAAAAGGGTGATAGGCTCTGCTTCTTCCTGCCTGACAGTGCCTGTGTTCCTTCTCCTCGAAGTCCTGAAGCAGAGCGTCACTCTTGCGGCATGGGTCATGGATGACTAGAGGAAAGAAACACAGAGGGACAGAAAAACCCTGTATTCTTGACAGGAAGAGAAGTAGGGACACCTCGAGCATTGCCTTGTGTTGCAGTCTCTACTCAGGGTGAAATATGCTCTAGTATTGGGAGGGGAGGGGGTGGCAGCAGGATCAAGATTATACTGTCCATAATTAACACACTTCCAGAACTGTTCAGGGTGTGAAATGTGGGAAGAGAATCAGATCAATAAACATACTGAATGTTGTATCTTCAGCTTCGTGTGGGAGAATACAGAAGATGATCTGCAAGCAGACAAGACAAAAATACTGGCTCTTAGTAAAAGTCATGAACTGTTTGTCCATGAATTCACTATAGAAGATGGAAAATGCAACCCGATTTCCCTGCACAGTTGTAAGGAAGATACACTTAAAAAGCTCCTTGAAGTTAAAAACATTAGTGAGTAAATTTCGATGTGTATTCTGTATCTGAAATTATTACAGGTCTAATTCTGCTTCACCTGGTTAAACATATTGAGGCAGTAGGACTGAACACTAGGGAAGTGTCAAACACTTCCACACTGATTTAAAGTGATCAGTTGCAGTATTAATGAACCTGAAAAATAACAGTGGCTTTTCTGTATTCAAAGATGACATTGTTAGAGGGAATTAAACTGTTGGAGGGTAAGGTGTCTGGGTGATACAAAGTTAAAAATAAAGTTTAATAAAAGATATTCATGCAACCCTTCTATCTCAAACTTTCCCTTTAATATTGGAATTGATGGGAAGGAAACATGGAGATAGGGCTCCTCACTAATCCTGCAAAGGCTCATTATGTGTTTACCCTTGTGTTCTGTGATTAGCAAACTGAACGTGCAGTTAGCATGCACAGTGCTTACAGGACCTTTGATGGTGTACATGTCCTTAACCAGTCTCCATTGCCCAAGTATTTTTATTTCCAAAGATTGTAGCTTTTATTTTCAGTGCTGACTGAAATGCTATTTTGTGATGAATTTTTGTGTTCTTCGTAGCATTGTCCACTTAAAGAGCCTTCACTGTTTTAGGAAACTGTTCTAACATTAGTGCTCCTGACGTAGAAAGTGAGGTTTAGAACAAAGCAAGTCCCTGCTCCAATCCCAACTTTTATTAAGATGGTGGCAGCGACAATGAGTTTCAGCGGTAATTTTCTCGAGATATTTTTACAAATCAAAAGTATCAGATTGCTATAATGCTCAAATATCTTTAAATTTACAGGCCTGTCTTCAATTTTCTCTTTGAGGATACTGTCTTTTGAAAACAACAAATGCATTCTTCTGCTCAATAAGTCTATTGTTGTGCATCTTACCTTTCCTGGAAAAGAGTCGCCCTTAGAGACCTGTGACTGCTTTGCCCTTGATTTGCGTCCGCAAGCGTTGGAAAGAATAACGGATATGCACTTCTGCAGGGGGATCCTGTTCCTGTTGGATAGCTCTGGCTGGATTTGTATCCTTTGCCGCAGAGACCAGCTGTCAGTGGAAATGATCGGGAAGAAAAAGTTGGGTTTTTTTTTCTGTCAGGGTTAAGCAGAAATTTCTTAAAAGAAATTCAAGTGTCTTGTTTTGCAGGTGCTTCCAATAAAGGGGCTGTGTAGTGAAGTGCTAGTTATTGTAGTAAAAAATGCCATGGTCCTGTATGGGATGTAGTTTCTCAACATCCCACTGGCAATGTGGTTCACACTGGAGTCATGGTTGTCAGTGGCTCTGTTATGTGGATCTGCATACAACAGGCGTACATCTGCTGTCAGTTTCACAAGGTGCCCAGCTTTGTCAATATTTTGACACATATGTAAAAAGAAGCAATAAAGCCAGTTTCCTTTTTCCTCCCAGGTATATAAGTGGCAACATGTATTTGTGCCAGTTCACTTCTAGGTATGAATTAACTCTTTTGTGATGGCACAAGCTGTGTGTGTACAGCACCTGGCACAGTTCACTTTTGATGCTAGCCACACTTAGAATGCTCTTGTAAAACAAGCAATTGGAAATATTTTGTTGTGCAAAGACTGGCTTGGACCACAGAGTTAACGGAAATTCACCATCTTCCTCGCATGTGTAGTTTCTTGTTTCTTGGACAGTCTGAGGCCTGGTGTTTTCTTTGATGCTGTTTCAAGACGTATTTGACACCTTTGATGGTGCAAATCTAGCAAACATCAACGTAGCGCTCTGCCAGGGAGCTGTGCAGGATGGGGAGAGGAGTCCAACCATCGCATCGCCACTCATGGCGGTGAAAGTGTCGCGTGATCTCAGTGTTGCTGTGATCATCAGCTCTTCCAACTGCGCCATCTCCGTGGATCTAAACACATACTTCAGGTACGTTTGCAGCAGAATTCCTAATGGAAGGTTTTGAGTACAACTGACATTAAAAGTGCCTCCTCTTGGTCCTGTAGCAGTTGGGATGCTGGCAGCTTTTTATTTTGAGTCCTGGCTCTGCGGTAGAGTGGAGATTTCATATTTGGTTAAAGATTGCCCATTCATATTTGCTCCGGTTTATGCTCTGTCACTTTAACAAATAGAAAATCTTTGTGTTGGACTTTATATTTTTTCTAGGAGGATTAGGATACATGCTGTGGATTGGTGCCGGTGGTTGGTAGCACCTGTTAGAAATACTGTAGGGCATGGGGGTTGCTAAACTGTTCTGACACAGCTGCATTGATTTTGCTTGATAAGTGAGGGCCAGGTTGTAATTCAGAGGTGTTGTCCACCTCAGAGGAATTAGCACCAGGTTTTGATGGTTTACCTGAGTACATTTTTGTGAATGCTGTTCATCTGAGAGAAAACAGCTTCTCTGGTAGCTCCTGGAGGAGGTAACCATGAAGGAAAAAAAAAAAAATCTTAAATCATCTGAGGGAGGTGAAATTTATTTTTTTACAGACAGTTCCCTGGGCACTTGCTCTGTAAGAGAGATCCTGAAAATCTTCCGGTGAAGCCTCCTGAAGGACTAGATGAGGATGACCTTGCTAGTTCTGAGTACAGCATGGAGCTTCTGTCCTTGCCTTTCCACACAGACCGGTACGTAATGAAAACACTTTCTAAAACAGGCTGGGTTCTGCCTCCACTGAGCAATAAACTACTGGGTTTTTGTGTTGTTTTTTTTTTTAAATTTTAATTATGGCAAGTAAAATCAGCTCATTCTGCTTTAAATCTTTTGAATGTTAGGATGATGTTAGGAAATGGGCCAAGACAACTTTACATATGTTCTTGGAGTAATACCTGGTGTACAGGTAACTTCTTTCTTCACCCCAGGTCCTGGAGAGCACACTTGTCCTCACTATGTGACAGAGTAAGGAGAAGACAGCCAGGTTCTCCAGATTTGGTGAATGACTTGAATTTACCTTGGTATCAGTTTTTTACCCATCTTGAAGATCATGATCCTGAAATCTATGAAACTCCTGAGAAGATGGTGGCTTTTGTTCCACGAGCCGTTACGTGGGCCCTTTCCAGACCCTTACAAAGCGATGGCACAAACCCCAGCGATGCGAGACCGCAGTGGAAACAAATCCCTGTAGAAGCACCACAAGAAGTGGTGAAACTGGAGTGTAAATTGGTCACTGGGGTTAAAGCTCTGTTTGTAGTTTTAACAAAGGACAAAGGATTGACTCTTGCTCTCTGGGATTTTGAGTCACAAGAGGTGACATATTACCGCTTCGGCAAAAGCAGTGTTCATGTGGATTGCGGTGAAGAGGTGCCTTTATGTCTGCTTGTGACAGGTGAGGGGGGTTTGTGTAATTCTCCTGATGTAGGCTTCTGAAAAAAGCTTTTTTCTTTTTCTTTTTTTTTATTTCTTTTTTATTTCTTTTTTTTTTTGGTAGTGCTCTTCTTTCCTCTCTGCCTGGCTGCTGCTTGCTAATTTCTAACGCATTCGTGCCGAGGTGAAATCCAAATGGAGCCAGTGCAGCTTGGTGTTATTTTGGAAGAGAGGCAGTAGATGGAAGTGTTGCTGTGTAGCTACTTGCTGATATATTTTTGATTATGGTTTGATTCTTTTATTCAGAGCGTGGTCTCTCCTTAATTCTATTTGGTTTAACTCAAGAAGAGTTTTTGAACAGACTGATGATCTATGGCAGCGCTGGAGTCGTGGATTCTGTTTGTCACCTCAATGGATGGGAACGATGTTCAATTCCCATCCATGCGCTAGAGGTAAAGAAATCTGTTTCGTGTAACAAAAATGCTTCTTTACAGTAGACGTAGTTTAGCAATCTTAATGGTGGTTTTCGACACAAGTAAGAGTAACCTATGGGCAAAAAGTAGTAGTTTAGTTATTAAATAATCAGTAAAAAACCTGAGGATGGAAGGTGAATTGGTGGGCAGAGGGTCACAGCAGTTTTCAGTTGCTGTAAACTTATTCAAAGTCCTGGTTCTCTCAGTACCTATTTTGTATCCCAAATCAAACTCTAGTAGATTGTTGAGTTAACATTTTGTCTCTGAAGATACGGGGCAGGGTTTCTGCAAAGCCTGTTAAAGGAGCGTGGCAGGTACTGACCAGGTCACCTTGTTCTTTCAGGCTACAGGTGTTGCACACATAGTTTCAATTAATTTTTTTCTGCATGTATACTTTGTCACAGCGTATGACACTAGCAGTAAGGGTACAATGTATGTTTTTAGAATACATGCGTAATTGTTCTACTGCACGTTTGTCTAGGCTGGTTTGGAAAATCGTCAGCTAGACACAGTAGACTTATTTTTAAAAAGCAAGGAAAATCTTTTCAATCTGTCTGCACCCTGCTCCGGACCTGAACAGTCTACTGGTAGTGCTTCCCAGGCTTACCTGAAAAGTAAGTAAAATACTTTCAGCTATGTGGACGTTTAAATGAATTGTCTTTCTATTCATGGCTGCGTGTTTGTAAAAAGATTGAATTGCCTGTGCTTTTGTATGTTTGGATGATGCTATATCACAACTTCTGTACCTCTGGAAAAAAGAGTGAGATGGTGCGCGATGTGTGGGGTTTTTGTTGTGTTCTGTACTGGCGTCTGTATTCTGAGCATTTTGACGTGAAGGCAAAGCATGTTCCATGTGTTGCTTGACACATTTTAGAAGATTTTTGTAACATACCTTTATGACTTTTAACTTCGATTTTAAATTTATGGGATCAGTCATAGGGTAGAATGCAAATGTTTGAGCTTTTTATGTAAATATTGCAGATTTGGAAGAGCTGAGGCCAGCTTTAAACTTGCTCTGCTCAGCAATCAAAGAAAGTGATATGGAGCCTCAGAGTAAACACTTCTCTGAGCAGCTGCTAAACCTCACCTTGACTTTCCTTAGCAAGCAACTTGAAGAAATTTTTCTGCACACAGAGGGTAAGAGTACTCATTTTGAATCATAATGTAGTAATGTAATGTGTCATTGTTTAGGTAAGAAAACATTTTTTTTTAATTAAAAGCCTGAATTTGTTTAGAATAATAAAAAAAATTCTGCTAGAGTTAAGTGAATGAAAGATGTTACTTAAGGGGAAACATGAGAAATGGATCTGAATACAGGATCTGTGTTAGCCCAAACAGCTACGATCAGGCTCTCGGGTCAGACTGGAGGATACTGTCCACAGGATCATTTTGGGATGCCTAAGAATGGCAGAATGGGGCTTTCAGGCTGTTGCTGGATACCTGATAGCAGCGCAGTTAAATGGCTTGAGTTGAGCCCTCAGCTTCTCCTTCTTTTCTCAGTGCTGCCACTTGAAATATTCTGGCACAAATATTTCTGTGTCTGCAGAATGAAACAGACTAGTTTAAGAAACTGATGCAGCTGAAAAAAAAAAAAAGCCTACCGGTTATTTTTTACCTGGAGCACTTCCCAGTCTGGTTTACTGTGTGGCACCACAGTCACACGTCCCAGTATAACCCGAGGGGTGGCACAGAAGCCAGAGGCAGCGTGTGATGGGCTTGCAGACTGGCCGTGGCAGTGCGTGACTGCTTACGCTGGCACTGTTGCTGAGATGCTGCTCTTTGAGCTACAGCCTAAGAGGTACGAGAATAGAGTAACCGCTGGTGTGCTGGTGAAGTGTTACAGTGACAGAATCCCGGAGGACAATTCTGTTTTGCTAGAGAAAGCTATGGAAGGTAGGCTGACACATCCTAACACACAGTATGCTCTCCTGCTCCTGAGTTGCTGTCTGAGTGCTGCTCTTTAGTCTGTGGGCCAACAGGCTGTACGTGTTAAAGCGGAACTGATTTCTTCTGGTAGTAAATGATGCAGACCACTAACTTAATAATTTTTTCTACATGATTTTTAGTATTTGTTTCTTATTACATGACTGTTGTGTTCAAAGTCCCTGCATTTTAAATGGGACTTATCTGATGAATAACCAGTTGGATTAATACAAAATTTCAGTTCTCATTTACTTGTCCCTAAAGGGGAAAACACATCAACGAGGACAGGGGGACCTCTCTGGAGCACTGGCAGGATTGTGGCTGTATCTTGACAGCATGCTGATAGTGATGGGCTGTGTCAGTACCCGTACAGGTCAAATTGTGATACAGAGCTGGTGAGCTCTTTCCTCTGGGGTGTGTTCTGTTTATTAGTCAGGAGAATGCATTCAGCATTGCTAAGTGTTAAAAATGCTCTATTCTTCATTTCTGTTTAACAGTTATCTTCTATGCTCTTGACAGAACCTGATGAATTCCTGCAGAAGGGTGCAGATATTTTAACTGATTACATTATTAAACTCAGAAAATTTCTGAGAAGATATCCTCGACCACAAATAAGTATGGCACACACAGAAAGTGATCTTGATGAAGACTTACTGGCATTAGAAGAAAGCCAAATGTGGGAAAAACTGACAGCAGAGGTAAAAATGAGTAATCCTTTTTTTCACTATTCTTATTAAATATAGTTAAGGAAATTATTAATATGGAAATTACTTTGAACTGTTGTTAAAAAAATCAATATAGGGATCATAGAGATAGTAACACTGAAAATTAATGGGATCAGTTTGTTCTGGATTTTTTCTCCTTCTAGGAAGTCATTGCTGAGGCCATCTTAAGCAACAAAATGCTAGAGGCCCAGGCCTTCTTCTACATGCATCAGCATCCTGCTCAAAGTCTTCAAGAATTCATTCAGACAGGTTTGAATCTGGTCTACGACCGTCTTCTGAAGGGCGATACCAGAGAGGCCTCAGAACTTTTAAGAAATATGGTGAGAGGTGTTCAGCAAGCACGCTGATAGTTACTGACACTTCTTTGTGGCTAAGGAAATAAATGAGTGCTAAGAGTATGGGAGAACTTAGCTGTCTTACGGATGTATTGTGGAAAGGAAGCGGGTGCGTTTATTCTGTCAATGCACAGCTGCATTTCTACAGTTTGCGTACAATTAGTGTCTTCTTTTTTTTAGGGCTTTGATGTGAAGGAGGAATTGCGTAAGATATGTTTCTACACAGCTGATAAACACGTACGAGACTTGTTGGTAAGTGTAGAAAAGGCTTTTTTTGTCTAGCTGATGTTCTCAGGTCTGAAGTGTGATGCGTATTTCTGCTGACAGGAGGTGGTGTATTGAACACGCTTGCAGAGTGGGAACAAACGGGTTTAGTTTATATCCCTGCAGTGGGGGTGCTGAAGCATGTCGTGGACGTGCCAATATTCTTCTGTGTTTGCAGTTAAAGTAAAAATTGATAAAAATGTCATTTCCTTTTCCTGGCTCTGATCTAATTCTCACCTGGTTGCCCACAGTATCATGTTCTGGCCCTCGTGAAATCTTATTGTATTGACCTCAATGCTTCCAGCATTTCTTACAGTTGGTTAACTCTTTGCACTTGCAGGATCATTCACAACTTTAATATATTATAAGTAGATAAAAATTGTAATTGGAGATAATACTTTAATTTGAATTAAAGGTGAAAGTTTTACGAGAAGAAAATTATTTTTCTGAAAAAGAGAAGAAAATGATAGACTTTGTGCATCAGGTTGAAAGCTTTTACTCGGAATCCTTCCAAGAAAATAGAGAGATTCAATCTCTTTCCAGGTAATGTGGGTTATCAGTTTTAATTATTAATTAATAATGCTGATCGGATTTAAAATATGCTGGCTTCTGCATTCTGTATGATTTACTGCACTAACAAATACAGCCTTCTGTAATTTCATTAATTTCACACCAGTCTTCATTTGTAGAAATAAGGGTCAGTGTGGGAACTGATTACTTTTCTCATTAATGTGACAATTGCTGTCATGTTCTTTCCAGACTAAGTCATGATGTGCTATCATCAGTGTAGCGAAGGTATTCTGTTCATGTCATCATCACCATAACTGAAGTATTTTAATAACAAAGGATGTTATAGGAATTATTAATCAAA